CAACAACAACAACAGCAACAACAGCAACAGCAGATCGTTAGGAGTCCGCAGAAGGAGGACTGGAGGACTGAACAAGTTGAGGATGGTGGACACGTGGCTACTTCGGATGATTCGAGCTGCAGTCATCATTATTATATGCATCATCATCATCATCATCATGTGCACAGGGAAGGAGCAAATAGGCATAGGAGAACCAGGGAGAGTCCTAGGAGGAAGACTACTAGTTATGTACCTGGTCGAAGAAGAAGCGAGGTAAGCTTTGGAATATTATTTAATAATTATTCGTTAAATTAATAATTCTTTCGTTGTGATTTTTTCCTGTCGAAGTGATTCTCAATTTCAAGGTGCTAGTCATTTCTGTATCCTTGCATTCCATCGGTATTCTATTGATTTTTTAAAATCAAATTTATTATCAACATCAATATCATTCTTTATGCTGTGTTCAATATCGACTACCCCTGTATTCTATTCATATTCTATTGATTTTTCAGAACAGAATTTATGTTCAATGCCAACGTAATTTATATCTAACTACCACATAAAACGAAATTCATTTTCAACATCAATATCGATCTCTAGATTGTTGATTATCCATGTGACTTAATTATTAACTGTTAGGATAAAAACGCAGCTATAACTGGTAGCCTGCCACGAAGAAGATCCCGAGCAGCGGACGATATAGTGTGCTCTCGGCTGAGTCCGGGCCGCTACCAGCGTAGCCCGGGCCACAATGGGCAAAGAGCTGTTATAGTCGAATCTCAGAGTCCTGAGACAAGGCTGAAAGCTTTGTCAGCGGAATCGTTGAGATCGGTCAGCCCTGGCAGCGACAGTGTTTTCTACAGCGAGGGGGCTGACCAGTGCCTGGCTGTCACTGCCTTCGATAATCATCACTGTCATCATTGTGGTCGAGAGGTACTTGTTACATTACATTATAGAATTTATCTATTGTTCAATAATCGTATTGACATTTGTTGGTAAAATAAGATGTGTTCATCAAATATATTGATGTTGAAATTGACCATCATTGTTCAATAATTATATTGACATTTGTCGATAAAATAAGGATAATTTAGTCTTATGTA